TGACAAATTGCCGTAAAGTTCCGAAAGACTTAATAATAAACTCGAACGCGTTCTTAGATTTAAAATTTCAGAAGTTTGAACCTACTGTTATCCTTGGACCAAAAACCGTTCTATCGATATCAGTTTTCAGTACACCTCACCCCTAGTCTGTTTTCTATAATTCCTCATAAGTCGCCGCGGGGTGGGCTGGATTGTTTTTTATTAATTTTCTTTGTTTTATGTCTCGGTTTATTTTCCACAACACTAGCTTTGTTGTTTCATAAATAAACAATTGCTCTGTTATGCTACAATGAGTGACTAGATGCAAGTGTCGTCTCGCTGGACCAAAGAGTATCAGGTAGTAATTTACTCAATGTTCTATTGAGTAAATCCATCCATTCATTGCAATCAAAACCATCCAAGAGCAAGCTAAGACGCCCCGTTGTAAATCATAAGTGCCACTTGTGGTCTAAAATGAATAAATATTTTTGATTTTGATTTTGATTTTTATGTTGAACAATTTACAATGTATTTTATAACAGATTTTATTCATCGCTCTGTTCTGTAATAATTTCAGCATTTGGGTTGATCTACGATAGACTTATTTAGCCTAGGCGCAGACCACCGATTCTTAGTCGGCCGACAGTTGGGCCCCATTCTAATTTGTATGAAAAATCAATCGGTGTAATGTGCGAACTTCCATACATGCCCATGCTGATTAACTGCCCGACTAAACTATCGGCCAACAAAAAGTTTGCAGTCTGCGCCTAGGCTTAGACTATGAACTCTATATCATTGAAACCTGACGAAGGGCACATCAAGCTAGTATATTATCGTCATCATCATCAGGTCATATAATCTCCACTACAGAAGTTCGACCTTCACCAATTTACCAGAGGCATGCTGGCTAGATGGATTGAGGAGGCAGTATTTTATCTGATCAGACAGATTTAATAACCACAAAAAGTTTAACTGTTTACGAATAGTTTGCTACTAGTTATTAAATTAGTTTGCTACTAGTTTCATTCACATTTACCAATTAATGAACCACTATCCAGAGTGATTTAAAACCATTGTCTAAAAGCGCCCCGGTCAGCGTTTGTCTACGAAAGTTATTAGTAAAATAACCATTACGGTATTAGTGTTCAGTCGTTCCCACGGGCACGTCACAAGTTTAGTGAATGCAATTACTAGGAAACCCCCACGGAACGCCACTTAGCAAAATTACAATACATTGGTTGCCTAGAATGTTGGAAAGAAATTAGGGATGTTTAACGACTAGTAGGTATGTGGATAACCAGTTTGGTATTTGACCACTTTTCAGTCAGTCAGCGCGTTTAGAAGACTTTTTAAGAAATTTTACATACGTATGATTTGTTTCTTTAGTTCAATAAAAGACCGGTGAAAAGTTGTGATCTTTATGAATGATCCCGTACCTTACCTCTAGCATGAACAACTTTCGTCTTCGAATCGTTTGCGTATTCGACAATTAATATTCGATACTCAACCTTCGAATTAAACGATAACGTGACAATTTTGATTCTCAAATTAAGTTTCGTGCAACCATTTCTCATACTAAGTAAGTTCAATTTACGACAAGTTCACAAGGGCGTTGTTGTAGTTTTCGTACTAAATCTTTTGATAGCGATTCGAATACGCAAACGAAATGTGTACCTACTTGATCGCTACAAATTAGGTGCCAAGCGACAAAGTAACAATCACCAGGGTTGAGTAGGTCAGGCCGATAATAGTCGGTACATCACTAGGAAATAATATCGATATCGAGGTAGCTGGAAGCAATTTTTTATAGTTATTGGTTTAATATTCAATTGTGCTAGATTACGAAGCTGGTGAGTGACGTCATTTCAATTGACAGAACGGTGTCTGCGTCGGACTACTAACTCTAGTGTCACTGGTTTGATTCCCATCGACCGCTGAACTAAAGTGGTGAATCCACTCTTCCTTCATACAACATTAATGTAACTTATCGAGGGTTGACAAAAATAGTAATAAGTAGCATTATCACAGATTTATTAGTATTTTAATTTTTTTTTTATTAAAGTCTCAGTTAGGTTACCGAAAAATACAATCAGAGGTGGAATTGTGTAAAGCAATCGTAATCATTTGACAGTTCATAACGTACGATAAAGTCAGTTAAACAAAGCGTTTGACAGAATAATCGTACGTTATGAACTGTCAAATGATAACGATTGCTTTACACAATTCCATCTCAGAATAGGGATGTTTCCTGGGTAAAAAAGCAAGAGTTTTAATTAGTCCGTCAGTTAGCTTATCAAACGTATTTTTCACTTTTTAAAACTAATGAAAATGTAAAAAGATAAAGTGTGCCAAAGTTTTAAAGAAAAGGCCCGTGACGTGAGTGATTGCGTAAAAGTGCAGCACTTTGTGACGTCGCGCGGAACTTCAACGCACTATAACTTTGTAATTACTTGTTTGATTGACAATTAAAAATATACGTGTCCAATATTTTTTTATACTAAAATTGACGGACTAAAACATTTTTTTTAGGAAACTAGCCTATTATTAGTATTTTAAAAACTTGTTTCAAAGTCTCAGATAATAGCGAAAATAAATCGGTAACATACATCATCTCTACCCAGTTTCTACAATAGGACTGAGCTGAGTTGTATCGATTCTATCTCTTTCCCTCCCTGCTGGGATGATACTCGAGTGAGAGTGACAGAGTGACGGACAGATCTAATCAAAATTTATTGGCGGATTAGACCCTCAATCAAACCGAGATTGAATGACAATCGTCGAGTATCCATTGTGGAGTGGTCAGGAAGTTAATTTTCTACGGAGTTCCAAGGTTCATTCCTTAGTAGGGGAAAATTTTGGTACCTACTTATTTAGCAGCATCTTCATTCGTTGAAGTAATTATGATTTTCAGCATTTATTTTAAATAAAGAGTATTATAGGCAATTTTGGCTTTTTTTTAATTTTGCCTCGGAGTTATAGAAGTGAATGGGGTATCTAATAAAATAAAATACAATTTTGAACTTCACGCGAGCAAATTAGGAGTACTAGTACTATTATTATGATTAGAAGACCTTAGAAGGCCTCAGAAGACTTTTTTCTAAAATATTTGCAGACCTCATGATAAGATTATTTATCTTTTATCAATGATAGAGTTTTATGTATCACGACTATCAGTAGCAATAACCTATTTTTATTCATCATTTTCTTCAACGTATTTGCCTATTTTGTATTTCACAAATATTCGAAAAAATACAGCAGTTATTTGTAGATATAGGCATAAATGATGGATGTCGTGGCATCGTGCCAAATATTCGAACGTTTTCACGACGTCGTTAANTAGGGATGTTTCCTGGGTAAAAAAGCAAGAGTTTTAATTAGTCCGTCAGTTAGCTTATCAAACGTATTTTTCACTTTTTTAAAAACTAATGAAAATGTAAAGAGATAAAGTGTGCCAAAGTTCTAAAGAAAAGGCCCGTGACGTGAGTGAGTGCGTAAAAGTGCAGCACTTTGTGACGTCGTGCGGAACTTCAACGCACTATAACTTTGTAATTATTTGTGTGATTGACAATTAAAAATATACGTGTCCAATATTTTTTTATACTAAAATTGATGGACTAAAACAATTTTTTTAGGAAACTAGCCTATTATTAGTATTTTAAAAACTTGTTTCAAAGTCTCAGATAATAGCGAAAATAAAATAAATTGGTAACACACATTATCATCTCTACCCAGTTTCTACAATAGGACTGAGCTGTGTTGTATCGATTCTATCTCTTTCCCTCCCTGCTGGGATGATACTCGAGTGACAGTGACAGAGTGACGGACAGATCTAATCAAAATTTATTGGCGGATTAGACCCTCAATCAAACCGAGATTGAATGACAATCGTCGAGTATCCATTGTCGAGTGGCCAGGAAGATAATTTTCTACCCGGAGTTCCAAGGTTCATTCCTTAGTGGGGGGAAATTGTGGTGCCTACTTATTTGCCAGAATCTTCCTTCGTTAAAGTAATCACGATTTACAGAGTTTGTTGTAACTTTGAAATATAAATATTAGCCATTTTTAGAAATTTTTCCTCAGAAGAGAAGAGAATAAAGTGTTAAAAAGGGACCATTAGAGATCATTTATTTAGCTTTTCAATAATTTCAATGTTTGAGTTTTAGATATCAAATCAGTCAGTGGCAATGAAATCTTTTTATTCATCATTTTCTTCAACGTATTTGTCTATTTCGTATTTCACAAATATTCGAAAAGATACAGCAGTTATTTGTAGATATAGGCATAAATGATAGATGTCGCGGCATCGTGCCAAATGTTCGAACGTTTTCACGATGTCGTTAACATTGAACCAATTCTTTTCAACTTGAACTTGAGTTTCATATTAAACACCAATGTTATTCGCAAGATCACACATTCTTCCCTTCCATCAAAACTATTTCCTATATCTTTCACGTCAAAGTTTAGTTTGCTCTGGAAATTGATGCTCATGTGGAATTTGTCACGTTTTGTTAGAAATGAAACCTTTTTGTAATAAAAGTAGAGTCCGTTTTTGCTTGTGCTGTATAAAGGGATCGTATTAGAAATGTCCTTATTGTAAGACTTCATCGCATTAGTGTCACGTGCGACAGGAAATCTCTTGGTTCATCTGTTTGTCACATTCAATAAAGTAAAAATAGAAAATGGAAGAAAAACGACTGTTGCTAATAATACCTCATACGCTGCCCTCAGCGAATAAGAATCAATAGATTTGTGGTTTGAAATTGTACCTATTTACAGCGTTCTGAAAGACGCGACGCCGCCACTGATAACTGCGATATTTTTTAAGGTGATACTTTTAATTTCTGAACAAGTTAGTTTAAACCAGCTCCTAACAAAGTTTCAGATAGTTTTCTGATATTATGTAATGCTATCAAACAAAATAATGTTTGCTGGTAACTTGTATTTCTAAAATCTGAAATGTGACGTAAACAACGATGCAATAAATAAATAATAAACTTGTAATATCTTAAACCTAGACTTACCTCGCTCTTCTAGAAGGCACAAGAAACTTCAAGGGTCCAGCAGACTTTCTCCTATTCTGGGATACAGGCACCATCAGCAAGTCTTCATCATCAGTATCTGATATCGGGCTCTCCAGATTCACCAATGCTGGCGCTGACATTCTCCGATCAGTTAAACCTCTAGGAACTTCTAGCATGTCCCGTATCACTTCACAGTACTTGCACGCGCTTGCTTCAGCCATATACGCTTTGGTGATTGCATACGCGTAATTTTCTAGAAAACACTTATGACATCCCGGTACGTAGTTGTTTTCGAGATCCGTCGATTCTTCGCTTGGGTCCTTCTTTTTCAGTTGCAATTTCTTCTCCATCACAGCTGTATTATTATCTAACAATTTCTTTTGTTCCTCTTTATATTTCTTTTCCTCTTCGTCTAATTTCTGTTGTCTAATCTCCTTCAAACATTCGTCTTGGTCATTGTAATATTCGATACACTTTCTTTCGTGCTTGGACGGCTTGGTCGGGCTTTTTTTCTTTTGCTTCTTATGGGCAATGTTTATATTTAAGGGTTCTATTCTCAATGATTTCATCTGCTTAATTATGTGCTCCTGCACGTAAGGCCGGGTATACGACACCTCGTCGACGGAATTGGCAGTGTTCTGTTCAAACGTTTTGGCACTTGCGTCGTTGTCTTTGTTTCTAACAGCTATTTTATCGTGTTTACTTTTTTCTTTTATGTGTTTATCGCTGGAAAATTTACGAGCATTTTTCACTGTACACTTTGCAGAGGAGTCATCGTCGAGACACGTTTCGTAGCCATCTACGTCGTGATCGATGTACAACAGCGAATTGCTATCTTCCTGGACGGATATTCTAGTAGTGGCATCGTAAAAGCTAATAGTTTCATCGTTCGGGGTATTTATACATTCCTTCCAACTCTCATCGCTTTTGATTTCTTCTAACTTTTTCTTTTCTACTTTATTTTCGTCACACTCCTTCCAATACCGGTCAAAGCTTATTCTTTCTAAGCCTGTTGGTGTGACAGCAAAAACCATTTCATCAGAGGTAGAAATATCTTTACTCTGTTGTTTAGACAGACTCCTCTCACCATTTTCTTTTCTATCAGCAGATTTGCTTCTTAAGTTTAACTCTCTAGGGGCAGTCAGGACATCGTCTTCTGTTATTGTCATGTCGTCATCTGGTTCGTCTAAAGAATCGTCCGATTTTGATGATTTGAACTCGCCGATGCCGTTAACTTTTTCTCTACTACCTTTTCTTTCGTCTTTCTTGCAGTCTTCTAAACTAAGGTCGCCTAGAGCCGACAGCTCCTCGTCCTTGATAGACGCTTCTTCTGGCTCCAGGCAGATCTGAACCACTTCGAGACCCTCGCCATACTCTTGAAGGCACTCATGGAAAGAGTCCATGCCGGTGTGGTCGTCCGACGCCAGGGAGTTTATACATTCCTAGAACAAAACTTTGTCATTTTAAAACATACCTACGTGGTATTGAAAATCAATAAAATTGTGGAACTTTTTGATGGTGGTTGGTTTTACCTTATTTTATATTAATTAATAATTTTAAATTAATAATTCAAAAGCATTATCATACAATTTACGAATGTAAATAGAAGGTTTGGGAATACCTATTGGGATTTTTCAGTGACATTTTTATCTCTTCCGTTCACTAACTTTTCCAGTATTAACTACAAAAAAATAAAAGAAGTTGATAACTTTGGCAACATTTATTTCTGCAACACACATAACAAAGCTTCTGGATAAATATATTTCTAACACAGACTCTTAAAGCATCGGACATCGACTTAACTATATCTATTACAACAATATTCACAACAATTCTCTAGTGTATTTAAATACTTTGAGATTGATACTATTTACCATTACTATATTTGTTTCTACCAAATCCTGTTCACTGCTTAACAAAAGCCTCCCCCAAGGATTTCAGCAACGACCAGGTTATCTATACTTATAATAAATCTGTAGAGAGGTCAATTCTGTACATGAAATATATTTTCAAAATAACTATCAGGGGGTGATTAGTGATCGATACTGATGCCAAAAATGCAATCAGTAAAATTTTTGTCTGTCTGTCTGTCTGTCTGTCTGTCTGTATGTTCCTTATAGAAACAAAAACTACTCGACGGATTTTAACGAAATTTGGTACAATTATTCTTCGTACTCCTGGGCAGGTTATAGGATACTTAGGAATTCCCACGGGAACGGGAATTAGCGGGAAAATCCTTTTGTATGAAAAATCTAAACCGCTTAAGTTAGACACTTTAAATTTGGCATGCAGGTACCTAAGTAAACTTAAAGCTTAGTTACAACAGGATATTGCAAAATCCCACGGGAACGGGAGTTAGCGGGAAAAAACATTTTTATGAAAAAATCTAAACCGCGTAAGATAGATGAAGGGGGTAAAACGGGATCCACGCGTACGAAGTCGCGGGCGGCCGCTAGTAATACATAATATAATAATGAGTACTGACCAGGTGCTTCCCACCACCAGATCCACCGAGGGAACTGCCCAAACTACGTTTTCTAACAAATCCTCATTTTTTCAGCAAATATTACTATGTTGTCCCGGAGTGGTGGTAGGGCAATCTTTATTTGGGACGTGTATAAGTGCCCTGGAAAAGGCCTAATGTTCTGAATAAAATATTTGAATAATATGAATTTCATTTCATGTAAAATTGATAATGATAAAAGTAACAATCCCAAGTGATTTTGCAACATATAAAAATCTTTCGCTGGTAATTAGTATTCTAGAATTATCCTCAAAACTTTACTCACATTTGAAATTAGTTTCAAGGCTTAAAATAAATTGAGTCTTGAGACAAAGTAAAACCTACTAAGCCTTGAAACTCGTTTTAAAATCGGTATTTTTAGTTGTTACATTTAGTCCTAAAATACAGGTAGAGCACCTAATTTAATTAGACAACATTCACTTAATGCTAGAATATGCTATTCTTATTGACTTTTAAAATTTGACTTCATCAACATTTTATTGCGATGCGTATACTAAATTGAAATTATTTACTCTTACAGTAATTTACATTAACCAATTGTAATATTATTATACCTAAGCCATTTCACTGTATACTGCTCTTCTCAGAATAATATTTAAAGTCTGTTCGCCGAGAGTTAATAAAAAAAAATATCAGAGGTTCTAAACTCATTATAAATTGCGGCCCGCTAATTATTTTTGTCGATATAATGAAAAAGTTGGTAGATTATCATTATTACCTCTTTTAAATTTACGGGAATTATTCCGGTTAAGGCATACGTGGGGATACGGATCAAACACGTGGCTTCCATGTGTTGGATAAAAAGTATTTCATTATTATCAAGTGGCTTATAGTGTATCCCAATGTTGGGCAAAGCCCTACCCACTGTCATACCATTCATTTTGGTCTTATGTAAAATAAATCTATTCCGTTTCACACATTGCGGCCCGCCGGCCGGGGCGCTTGACGACAGCTGCGAGGCTCGTACCATGGTACTCAGTGCGCGTTGTGACAAACGATGCCCGCCATACAGAATGCGATAATTAAGCGACAGTCGCTATTGCAAGACATTTCATAATATTTATCAACTCTCGGCGAACAGACTTTAGAGTCAGTTCCAAAAACCCCTGGTACATAGAGGCCCAATGTTGTCATCGCAAGAGGTTTTCTTGCAAATTGACAGGTCAAATTGCAAGGGTCATTTAAGGAGGCTTGGCCTTATACAGTGTGAGTCACGTTAAAGTGTACATATGAAAATGGATGAAACTAGACCTATTTTTATCGACAAAAAAGTGGTCAAAAATTTTTTGAGATTTTTTAAAACTTTTTATAGAATTTTTTTTCTTTCAAGTACTTATTGTAAAGAAAACGTAATAACTTTTAAACTAAGAGGTATATCCTGATAAAATAAAAACAGTAATAATGCTTAATAAAAGACGATACTAAAAAAATACATAAAATATTCAGAAAATGGCAACAAATAATAAAAAATGATACTTTTTGAAAAAAATCTGTTTTTATTATTTTATTAAAATCTGTTATTATCGTGTTTTTTTGGTTATTTGATAAATTTCTCCAAAAAATGCCCCTATAAAAGGTGGTTTTTATTACTTTGAATTTTTCTCTATCGTATTACCTTTGTAAAACCAAAAATCGCATGTCTCTATCCCTATCACAACATTTGCTATGATCGTTTGAACTAAACCTCTCCGGGCGCGCCATTCAACGCTTCGTTAACAACGAAACTGAAAATGGCTCTAGATTTGTAATTTTGATAAAGACAAGTTAGATTTCAAGTAAAAACAAAAGATTTCGAAGTAAAATAAACATTTTAGTTAAAATTAAAACTGTCCCTACCTGTAGAGGAGAATAATGTTGTGGTAGGCCTTTGTTCAAACTATCATAGCAAATGTTGTGATAGGGATAGAGACATGCAATTTTTGGTTTTACAAAGGTAATACGATAGAGAATAATACAAAATAATAAAAACCACCTGTTATAGGGGCATTTTTTGGAGAAATTTATCAAATAACCAAAAAAACACGAATTTTTAAGCAGATTTTTTTCAAAAAGTATCATTTTTTATTATTTTTTGGCATTTTTTGTGTATTTTATGTATTTTTTTAGTATTGCCTGTTATTTAGCATTATTAATGTTTTTATTTTATCAGGATATACCGCTTAGTTTAAAAGTTATTACGTTTTATTTACAATAAGTAATTGGAAGAAAAAAAAATTCTATAAAAAATTAAAAAAAAATCTCAAAAAATTTTTGACCTCTTTTTTGTCGATAAAAATAGATTTAATTTCATCTGTTTTCATATGTACACTTTAACGTGACTCACACTGTATTACAATTTGGTTGGAATACTAGCAACCTATATTAAACCTATGATTAAGTAAATATACATATTAAAATAAAACTTTGTAAAAAATAATATCATTTTTTTTATAAATTTTACATTGGTAAACATTTTTATATTGTGTAACTTTTAAACTTTCAATTCACACTTTGGGGCTCTAAAGACAGTCTTGTAAACTGATGTTTATTATTTCAACTTTGGTGTCTTTATTGTTGAAAATAAAATATTTCACCCAATATTATTCATATTTTTTAACTAATAATATTTCCGAATGTTCTCATAACCTTACACCTATGATATGTTACAAATTTCCTGTAAGCGAACGATTATAAATGCTTCTTTATTTGAGCACATACATTTCAATGCGAAACAAATAATAAATACTTTTACACTTTTCACAGTGTATCTTTAACATTTAGAAATATTACGAAATGTAATATTATTTTTATAAACCCGTATTTTTATTTCTTTTTTCAAGATAATAATTTCAATTATAAATACTATAAAAAAACAATAATCACAAGTCTTTCAACATTAACTTTTTACTAGGCCTCGCTATTTTTTTAACATTTTCGTCAATAGGTTAACAGACATACGAAAATTATAAATACGTCTATTCTTTCTTTTAGCCTATATATACATACAATCACGCTTTATACCTATAAATACTTAGGTAAAATTTTATTCTTTAACACATAATTATAGAAACTACGGTCACGATTGACTTTTTAATTGATTTTTCCCTTAAAATTACATATCCGGACGCATTCATATCGTATTACTAATTTACTGTATCAACTAACTTTAATTAGGGAAATAGGAAGATAGTTCTAAATAGTGAGAAAATTGACATGAGATATTCTAGGAACGATGAGAATAGCATGTTGGGAAATTATTAGACTGAAGAATATACACCTAGCATTTGTATATTAAATATATCATTATAGTTAGTTATTTACATAACCAGATTTTTAACAAATAAAAACTTATTGGAAATGGTCTTCTATTGTTTCTACAAAATATTCGTACTAAATTATCTAAATTATTTCAACCCTTTAAACTTCTTCAGAACCAAAACAAAATTCTATACAAAGGATTTATCTTAAAGTGAATATTTTATACATACGGTTACTCGTATTAATATCACGCTTGTTTCAACGTCTACATAAAATTCGCCTTATATTTTAAACATTTCGTTGCGTTCACCAAACTATCCAACGTTTCTTTTCATCAAAATATTTCATTTCACTAGTTTGGCAAGCCCATTACAAGATTTAATCAACCTGATTATCCAACACATCATTTAATCAATCACAATATCGTTTTTTTTAATCATACACACTACTGCGGCACTCGGTCTTTAGGTTTCCTTCACGTTACGTTGACCTTTATGGTTGAGGTTTCATTGACGGTCATGTGGTAAATTATGACTTATACAATAGTCAAATAGGTAGCAAAGAGATCTGGTATAGATCGTTTCATCCACGAAGACGCGCCCCACCATTCTTCCGCTAATGTTTGAGTGTTATCGGTACACGCTACATTATCCATCACGCATACTACAGTAATGCCGCTAGGAGCAAACTCCCCGCACCCCGCGCGACCGAGACCAAAAATAGGTGGGGCGCGTCTTTTTTTTTTATGCAAAACAAGGCAGGTATTTGACCACAATCGCACCTGATGTTTAGTGGGATGCAGTCTAGGATGGTACACATCTGCCCTGTAAGTGCCTATTCACTCTCGGCTTGAAAAGGCGCGGATTATAGTTTTCAGGAAAGACAGCAGCAGGCAACGATTTCCAGTCCCTAGCTGTTCGCATTATAAAAGAGTCATCGAAGTCATCAGTCTTCGTGGATGAAATGATCTATAATAGGCAGTCCCTGTTACAAACTGGCTAACAGAACTGCCTCCTTAGGCTTCAACTACATAGAAGTAGAGTTTTCTTTAGTTCCTTTAGATGTTGATTTTTAAAGACAGTATCTACTTTACCTTCAACGAACACAATTCTTATCATCCGGTAGCAGTTCCCATCAGATCCAATATCCTTCAGTTTCAATCAGTCCACTCCGTAACAGTTCCATTTGCGTCCCAACTCAAATCTTCGTTTCCTCGCACTTCGGCACGTCATCGGACCGCGCGCCATCCGGCACTTCGACTGTGACCGAATACCTCAGTTTTTCCTCCTGTCATTTCATGGTGATCTCTGCTTTAATCTTAGGGGGGACCCTAAAGGGGGATGGCAAAGGAGGCGCAGGGTCGTAGTCCTGGGAACACTGGAGCTGGAGTTCCAGAATGTCACGGTGGAGAGACATGATGAGGCGCAGGATTTTCGTGAAGTACTCCAGTTTCTGGAAGAAAGAGAGCGAATAGTTTGTGGTTCCGTTTGTGAAGTTGTTGCGTAACTTTCAGTATAGTATTTATTTTAAATTTTTTGTCTATGTTGAGTTAGTAGGCACTTTCATGTAAGCCGTGGTGTGCTTAGAATCTAATTATTTGTAAAAAAAAACTTAGAAAAAGATCAATTTTCAAAATGTTGTGTCTAGTGTAGTTTAGAAAGAAAACCTGTCGATATCCGTGGACAAGGTTTTGTACAGAAATAAAAAAAATATTTTCATTTTTATGCTGACGTTATGTTTTTTTTTCTGCTCTGCTGTAAAGTACTGCGATATTTGAAAAATTAATAAAGTTGTAGACGAAATTCTAACAAATTAAATTTCAACCATACTTTCCCAATCATCTTCGATTTTTTTTATTCGCAAGTTTTTCTTTTAGCACACCACAGCTTTATTTCATTATACTGAAAATTACGGTTAGCTAATTAACATACTAATTAGACAAACGGCATGCATTCGTATTGTACACTAAAGGGAGATCACAACAGAAACATCAAAAACAAAATCAACAGTATTACTTATTATCTTAGAGCGGTAATTTTTTTCTATTCCCTTTATTGTACAAAATTATTTGTTTAAGTAAGAAAAATATGTAAATATGTAAAAAATTGCATGCTAAATTATTGTAAGTACTGCTCTAAGCGTATAGAAAAGCTTAAAAATAACTTACTGTCAGATACTGTCCCCTCAGTGTACAATATACACAACACTTAAACGGCTTATACGTATTTATGTATAATGTATATTCTCCTCACCAATATAAACGTCAAACGGAAAAATAGTACACAGTGTTTTGTTTCTACTGTCAAAAAAACAAAAGACAGAGAAAGAAAACAGTGATTACATATTTTTTGGACAGTTTTTATCAGTAAGAGGAAATATTACGTATCAAAAGTTTCAGAATACTCGGTATTTTCAAACAAAAATAAAACACGGTGAATACGGCGATGTACAGGCACATCAAGCTAACTCTTTGGGTCTTATGGAGTTGAAATAAGAACGATTTCGGAACCAAAATGTTTCTTCTGATGTGCTATCTGACTGTACAAATAAAAATTTGGGTATTTCGTTTAAAAAATAAAGGGGATTGGTCCGATTCATTAAAATACTTTTTGTAAACATGTTTTTTTAAATAGTTCGATTTTTATTTCAAATACAAGATAAAAAAGTGTTGGATTAAAAAACATATTAATCGTTCCGTTAGGTACGAACACATTTTCAATTTTTTTTTTTTCAAAAATTGCAAGTAATCAAATTGAAATTACTAAAATTTTATGTATTAGGTTTAAAGTAAATAATGTACATACCTGACTACTCTGCATACTGTGGCCGTTGGCTTTCTCTCCACCCACTACGGTACTGCAGGGAAGAGGTTTTGCGATACCTATCGTAACAATTCCTGGAACAAAGGAGAGTTTAATTTAATTTTAATTATCAAACAACGTCATTATCATCAGGTCATTAATAATTTTAGTCTCCACTGCAGGAACATGACTCTCCAATTTTATCATCATCATCATTTCAGCCACAGGACGTCCACTGCTAAACATAGGCCACACCCAATAACTTCGATTGGTAGCGGCCTGCGTCCAGTGCCTTCCTGCTACCTTTATGAGGTCTTCGGTCCACCTTGTGAGTGGACGTCAAACGCTGCGTTTTCCGGTACGTGGACTCCACTCCAGAATCTTGCTACCCCATCTCTCTTATGAACTCTACAATTTACCATAGCAAAATGGAGGACTTGATCTAGACTCTTCACTTTGGCCTTGTTTGGAAAGCCTGACTTATGTTCACATAAGTATTTTTTCTCCCATAGAAGCGACTATAACAAAAGCGAAAAAATACTTCCCCAATCTAAAATCGAATGTGAGGGTGGTCCCTATTCTTCCTGCCAGAACCACACGGTGGTTACTGACTTGAAGTCAAAACAAATAAACCACATAAAGAGCAATAACACAAAACAAAATGGAAAACGCAAGATAAAAAGAGTGCTCTATTTTTAGAAAACTGACACATTTATAATATTAAATACCTGATAAACTGTGTCATATCGTTTTAAAATCACTGTTTTGTCTCCTTTATTATTAAAAAAATTCGTTAAGGTGAACTTGTATAGAGCTCTATTCACTATGATTAAACGGTTAATGTTACACCAATGAACAATATTATGACTTTACTTCAATCAAATATAGACTCATTTATTCGATTTACGATAACCCTTATCAGGTTCTCACAAACACAGTTTTCAAGGTTGAGTTTATTTGTTTAGTTGTTGCTAGTGTTTATTTATATCTCATAATTGTTCACTCCAAGCTCAATGATTACAGTGATTACCTAGTTTCAGAGCACCAAAACAATCTCTTTATTGATTATAATGCTGAATTAAAAAAATAAGCATCAAGAGACGCTGCAAAAGAAACGGAAAATGTCTTCGCGCACATTGAAACCATTGCCAGGCATGTTAGTCCTAAGTCTTGTTGTATAAGATGACCTTTCAGCGCGGTCTTAATAGAACCGACAAAAGCAAGCGAGTGGACTCCGTGACATGTCTAACCCATTGACGGAGATGAGCCGGTCGATTATCTTATCTCATGTGCGTTAGCATAGTGCGTTAAAACAATACCTTTAGCGCTGCAGCGGCGGGAAGTGGATTTCACGCCACAACACATGGAGTATTTTGACAGAAGTGCGTTATTCCTACGTGTTGTTGTGTAAGGTTACCTTTGGGCGCGCTCTTGATAGCGCTAACGGCTGCAGCGAGCGGGCTCCGCGACACGTCCAGGCCATTGACAGAGATGAGCCGGTCGCTTAGCTCATTTGCGTTTGCATAGTGCGTTAAAACAATACGTTCAGGATTCAAGAGCCGTTGCTGGCCGCGAGAAGCAGACCGTTCTAAGTTAGATTACCTTTGGGCGCGCTCTTGATAGCGCTAACAGCCGCAGCGAGGGGGCTCCTCGACACGTCCAGCCCGTTGACAGTGATGAGACAGTCGCTTATATCATGTGCGTTAGCATAGTGCGTTAAAACAATACCTTTAGCGTTGCAGCGACGGGAAAAGGATTTCACGCCACAACACATGGAGTCTTTTGACAGAAGAGCGTTATTCCTACGAGTTGTTGTGTGAGATTACCTTTGGGCGCGTTCTTGATAGCGCTCACAGCTGCAGCGAGCGGGCTCCTCGACACGTCCAGGCCATTGACAGAGATGAGCCGGGCTCCAGGCGGCCGTCGCTGGCCGCCGCGCCGCCGCCCACCACCGACCGGACCACTATCACAGTTGCCCGGCTCGGTGATGGTGATGCGGTCAATGTCGCCTGAGTACTATTATGTCGCAGGCCGCTACCAACCGGGCAACAATACATGGAGATCATTGGGGGAAGACCTATGTTCAGCAGTGGACGTCCTATGGCTGAGATGATTATGATTTCGTACGCCACGCGTCATGGACAGTAGAACGAAGATACGCTCTTGATGGCGTTGACAGCGCTCCTTAGCACATGTGACTAGTGCCTAAAGCATAACAACCACAGATATAGATTCTATATCTGTGGTCTATTCACAGGTGCGTTAGTTCTAGGAATGATGCGTAAAACTCCATTATTTACTTTTTGGCGCACTAGCAATCATTGTAGCAGCGAAGGGGCTCCGTGACACTTCTAGACCCAATGATGAGCCATTCCCCGAGTGCCTGAATCTATTTGACAGTCGTGTTGTTATTACCTTTGGGCGCGCTCTTGATAGCGCTAACAGCTGCAGCGAGCGGGCTCCTCGACACGTCCAGGCCATTGACGGAGATGAGCCGGTCGCCGGGCTGCAGGCGGCCGTCGCTGGCCGCCGCGCCGCCGCCCACCACCGACCGGACTACTATCACTGAACTGCCCGGCTCGGATGGGTCCTGGTGAAATGAAAAACCAAAATGTCATAAAAGTCATTTATCTATACTAATATTATAAAGAGGAAAGATTTGTACCTATTTTTGTATGTTTGTATGTTTGTAATGAATAGGGTCAAAAAGTACTGGGCCGATTTAAAAAATGCTTTCACCATTCGAAAGCTACATTATCCACAAGTAACATAGTCTAAATTTTATTTTGGAAAAACATAGGGTTCAGGTGTCCACGCGCGCAAAGCCGCGGGCGGAAACCTAGTGTTCTGTAAAGAGACTTTTAAAAAGCGCTTTCACACGCTTCAGTATTACTTTAAATCCCCGCCACCTCTTCGCGACAATGGCCAGTACTGAGAAGGAGCTTAGAAGCACAAGAAACTCATTCACCTTCTCTTCAAAGGTTCTGTGTGCTTTATGCTGCACAGTGATAATTCACTTGTTAGCCGTTTGGTTACGTGCGACTCTATTTCATTTACGGTTATGCTATGTTATTTTCTCATTTCTGATTCGATCTCGTTATGAAACACTAAGCTTAGCGGGGCCCCTTCTTAGCACGCAGTGGAATATTGAGCTTCCTAGGCTGTCGCAGTATACCAACACTATTATACGTGGTGCCACCAACGAAGTAGCGCGAAGTAAGGGTTCTTCAATCAGCGGCAAAACAGTTTGACGCCCAAAGTAGCCAAAAAGTTCACAACATCTCTTTCATACAATTTGAATTAGGTTTTATTATCAACTTTTTGTGGGGTCACGAACTATTTGACGCTGGCTGTGACTACTCCATAGTCAGTTAACCGACATCAACAAAAGTAAGAGGTTCTCAATTCGGTTGTTTTGTTTCTGTTGATTGGTTACTTACCAAGTAGTCCAAAATAGAGAAGCCCAGCCCCCGGTCTTCCTTAAGCAGCTGTATGTACTCGATGTGGTCGCTCCACATCGCCAGCCCGCTCAGCGGCTCCAAAGACCTCGACCGGTTCCTCTCCAGGTCGTCTGTGCAGAACTCTGTAATAGAAAGAACGACAAATTGTTATTTGACAGTAACGAAAAACGAAACAAAACATTTGGCAATAAAAAAAAATCCGCTCTGAAAAATGATAATTCCATCTTGATAGTGATCTGTTTGATAATCTGTATGCAATTGATAACATTATCATCATAATATTATTATCATCACGCTACATAAAAACATTGATTTGAAACACTTCGTATTCGTACGCGTATCGAATATCGAGGTTGTCGTGTGAACGACTCGCTGTGTACTCCACGGAAGTCATTAAAAACTATAGAAGTACTGAGCTATTTAAAGAACTTTATGCACCACCTTTTTAACTGTAACCACTCGTACAAACACAGATTAGTTTTTGTACGGAGTTTGACTGATTTTTGACGTTTGTTACAGTTGAAGTAAGATGGTGCAACCCAGGTCTAAGTGTCAATATTTTTACCTGATATTGGCAGAAATAAACCTCTCTACCCAAATAGATTTGGTTTGGAAATTATTAAGGGGGCCGCATATCATTGCAATTATGTTCAGCAGAGGACGTCGGTGGCTGAAACGATGATAACTTTGGTTGCCACTTACCAAAAAGCATATCACACTACCTTCTTGTTGCAAAAAACGGTTCAACTTAAAATAATGTTAAGTTCAAAGTATAGCTTACCGTCATGGTCGTGGCTGGCGGACAAGACCGTGGCAGCGCTGCACAGCGAGGCCACGGAACTCTCGGACTTGGCCTTGATCAGCCGCTGAGGAGGCGCCAGCAGGTCCTGCAGGCTGCCGCCCAGGATCTGGTTCTGGGGAGATAAGCAGAATTTAGCAAATAACTCGTAAAGCTGATAGCCGTTGGGGCAGAAAAGTTCTCGAGTGGCGACCATGGGCCGGAAGACGTAGATCCCACTAGGCGGACCGACGATCTGGTGAAGGTCGCTGGAACAACCTGGATGAGGGTAGCGCAGGACTGGTTATAACGGAAATCCTTAGGCTGATAGTTAACTTATGAGATATGCGGCTGGTCTCCAGTTAACTATCAGAACTACTGCTAGACAAACCTCCTCCACGGGTTTCTATAATTACCGGTCCTGCGCCACCCGCATCTAGGTACTTCCAAGACCTACACCAGATCGTCAGTCCACCGAGTGGAAGTTCTGCCAACACTACGTCTAGTCAACCAGCGATATCTCAACTCTCAACAGTCGCAATGCCCGGGACAAACTTGACCTTCACTGGTTGTGTTTTTGTTGGCAGTCCAGTTATAGATCCTGGCTACACAGGAGTTGCAGCGGTGGGAACGAGAGGTGGGAATAGTCCCGTAGTCGCAATATCCCTTCTTCAATAAATACTAAGTTTCCTCACCCTAGCGATCCCAGCGGCCTCAATCTTGTCCATGCGGTGCTCCTCCTGCTTCCTGACGCACACCAACAAGACTGGTGACGTCACCGCCCGCAGACGCGTCACCACTTCCACGTGATGCGCGCCTAGTACTAGTCAGCCGTTTAATATGTCTTGACTATCTGAACTACTAAGTTCCTTCTTCAATATTGAGAAGACTCCTAGCGTGTCAAGTGCTTCCCGCGACCTTCATCAGATCGTCGGTCCATCGAGTGAACGGGCCCGCCTTCACTACGTTTTTCATTCCACCTAGTACTTAAAGCCCGTTTCTTTCTCTCTCTTTCTCTTCGTCAATAATAAAAACTTCTAAAAAAAAGTCAATTTCCTCACCCTAGCGATCCCAGCGGCCTCGATCTTGTCCATGCGGTGCTCCTCCTGCTTCCTGACGCACACCAACAAGACTGGTGACGTCACCGCCCGCAGCCGCGTCACCACTTCCACGTGATGCGCGCCTAGTACTCGCCAGCCGTTCACCTGAAGAAAAAACAAATACAGATGTATAGCCCGACCAGGAACATAAAAACCCTCGCCATGTTGCGGAAAACTAATGGTACTAATTTCTTTTAATGGCAACAGTAACTGAAAACTTCATTGAAATGTCACCTTGCATGTCAGTCTATTGCTGTCAAAGTTTAAACAAACTTTATTTTAAATGTGCGCAATTGATTTTGTGAATTAAATTGCTAAAATCTTTTTATAGTCGTGAAAGAAAAGTGGTTCACAATGTGCTAAAGTATTTGTCGAAGAGAAATACCAAGGGTTCGGACAATATTTTCATTGAATAATGTTTCCGACAAAGGTTGTCAAATTGACTGACATGTTTATCGTATAGTACAGTCCACTATGAAAATTAGCTGTGATTTGTTTCAACTACCTATTTTAAAAATTTTTGTCACTTTCTAAGTGTTAAATTTTATGGAATTGGGAAAGAAGTACCGAGTTTGAAGCGTTCATGAGCAGACATTGCAGTTGAATATTCAAGTTCAGAATTTGATTATTGATGAATAATAAAATAAATCCTACTAGCTCGATTGATGGTTTCATTTAATTTATTTAAACAAGTTACCCATAATAATATTTTTTTGTTAATTTATGAAAATATCGAATTAGCCCGTAATCCTGAATCCTGATACATAAAGTTAGGCTATTAATTTAACACAGGTACGACTGTACTCAGTGTTGCACTATCAAATGCAATTGACGCGCCACTATGACAGGGTTTTTATGTTCCTGGTCAGGCTATATTTATTTTATTCTTATACTAGCTTTTGACCGCGGCTTCACCCAATTCAATTTAGTTTGTCACAGATCGTCATAAATTATGGTCTTATGTTATTTTGGGTTAAAAACATTAATACTATAAAGTTTCATCAAAATCCGTTCAGCAGTTTTTGCCTGAAAGAATAAGAAACATCCAGACATCCAAACTTTCGCATTTGTAATATTACTAGTAGGATTAGTAGGACCCCTACAAAAAAAATGCAATAAAAAAACAAATCTTAGCTATCAAAATTACTTGAAGAATAGACTTTTTGATCTACATTTAACCCTCGCTGTACTAGGTGGGGTGTGACACACCCCAGTCTTTTAAAAATAGNATTCTGAGCTACGGGCATGTGTGGTTTTCACCACAAAAAAATCAAAGAAGTAGATAACTTTGGCAACATTTATTTCTGCAACACACATAACAAAGCTTCTGGATAAATATATTTCTAACACAGACTCTTAAAGCATCGGACATCGACTTAACTATATCTATTACAACAATTCACAACAATTCTCTAGTGTATTTAAATACTTTGAGATTGATACTATTTACCATTACTATATTTGTTTCTACCAAATCCTGTTCACTGCTTAACAAAAGCCTCCCCAAAGGATTTAAGCAACGACCAGGATATAAAACATATATTAATGAGTACTGACCAGGTGCTTCCCACCACCAGATCCACCGAGGGAACTGCCTAAACTAAGTTTTCTAACAAATCCTCATTTTTTCAGCAGATATTAATGTTGTCCCGAAGTGGTGGTAGGGCAAGCTTTATTTGGGACGTGTATAAGTGCCCTGGAATGGCCTAATGTACTGAATAAAATATTTGAATAATATAAATTTCATTTCATGTAAAATTGATAATGATAAAAGTAACAATCCCAAGTGATTTTGCAACATATAAAAATCTTTCGCTGGTAATTAGTATTCTAGAACTATCCTCAAAACTTTACTCACATTTGAAATTAGTTTCAAGGCTTAAAATAAATTGAGTCTTGAGACAAAGTATAACCTACTACTTAAGCCTTGAAACTCGTTTTAAAATCTGAATTTTTAGTTTGTTACATTTAGTCCTAAAATACAGGTAGAGCACCTAATTTAATTAGACAACATTCACTTAATTCTAGAATACGCTATTCTTATTGACTTTCAAAATTTGACTTCATCAACATTTTATTGCGATGCGTATACTAAATTGAAATTATTTACTCTTACAGTAATTTACATCAACCAATTGTAATATACCTAAGCCATATCTTAAACTGCTCTTCTCAGAATAATATTTAGAGTCAGTTCCAAAAACCCCTGGTAGGTACATATTAGAGGCCCATCGTTGTTATAGCAAGAGGTTTTCTTGCAAATTGACAGAGTGTACTAAGTCAAATTGCAAGGGTCATTATTTTAAGAAGGCTTTGCCCTTATATTACAATTTGGTTGGAATACTAGCTACCTATATGAAACCTATTATTATGTAAATATACATTATTAAAATAAAACTTTGTAAAAAATAATATCTTCTTTTTTGTAAATTTTACATTGGTAATCATTTTTATATTGTAAACTTTACAACTTTCAATTCACACTTTTTGGGGCTCTAAAGACAGTCTTGTAAACTGATGTTTATTATTTTAACTTTGGTGTCTTTTTTGTTGAAAATAAAATATTTCACCCAATATTATTCATATTTTAACTAATAATAATATTTCCGAATGTTCTCTCAACCTTACACCTATGATATGTTACAAATTTCCTGTAAGCGAACGATTATAAATGCTTCTTTATTTGAGCACATACATTTCAATGCGAAACAAACAATAAATACTTTTACACTTTTCACAGTGTATCTTTAACATTTAGAAATATTACGAAATGTAATATTATTTTTATAAATCCGTATTTTTATTTCTTTTTTCAAGATAATAATTACAATTATAAATACTATAAAAAACAATAATCACAAGTCTTTCAACATCAACTTTTTACTAGGCCTGGCTATTTTTTTAACATTTTCGTCAATGGGTTAACAGACATACGAAAATTTTATAAATACGTCTATGCTTTCTTTTAGCCAATGTACAGTCACGCTTTATACCTATAAATAGGTAAAATTTTACTCTTTAACACACAATACTATAGAAACTATGGTGACGATTGACTTCTTAATTGATTTTTCCCTAAAATTACATATCCGGACGCATTCATATCGTATTACTAATTTACTGTATCAACTAACTATAATTAGGGAAATAGGAAGATAGTTCTAAATAGTGAGAAAATTGACATGAGATATTCTAGGAACGATGAGAATAGCATGTTGGAAAATTATTAGACTGAAGAATATACACCTAGCGTTTGTTTAATAAATATAATTATTATAGTTATTTTATTTATACATTTAGGTTTTTAACAAATAGAAACTTAATGGAGCAATGTGAGTCACTTCTGACTGGAATGGTTTTCGAAAATCTGTAAAACTTAGGAATGCTATTGTTTGTACAAAATATTCGTCCTAAATTATCTAAATTATTTCAACCCTTACTTCTTCAGAACCAAAGCAAAATTCTATTCAAAGGATTTGTCTTAAAGTGAGTATTTTATACATATGGTTACTCGTTTTAATATCACGCTTGTTTTCACGTCTAGATACATCTTATAGCATCTTTTGGCTATATTTCTTCTTAAACCTAACTTTCAACAATCGTTGCCATTCTCCAAACCGTCAACCAGTTTGGCCAAACCAAAGCATCAACATTACAGGATTAAATGAGCCTGATTATCCAACACATCATTTAATCAATCACAATATCGTTTTTTTAATCATACACACTACTGCGGCACTCGGTCTTTAGGTTTCCTTCACATTACGTTGACCTTTATTGGTTGAGGTTTCATTGACGATCAAGTGGTAAATCATGGCTTATACAATAGTCGAAGAGGTAGCAAAGAGATCTGGTATAGATCGTTTCATCTACGAAGACGCGCCCCACCATTCTTCCGCTAATGTTTGAGTGTTATCGGTACACGCTACATTATCCATGAGTGCACACGCACACTACAATAATGACGCTCGGATCAAACTCCCCGTCCCCGCACCCCGCGCTTCCCTCGAACAAAAATATGGATTCGTGGATGAAACGATCTACAGGGTGTTAGGTAAAAGGGTATATGAGCCGACACTAGGCTATGTTAACATGGGCATATAAATGGTATGGTGAAGTCAGAAAGAAGAACGGTCATCTGTGACCCAGGCCCGACAGAAACGAGACATACCTCAGTTTTTTTGTCATGTCTTAATTAGTTAAATTATATATTTTTTATATTCGAAATCTATGTATAACACCAAAATATTACCCTTTGTTTTTGTTCAGGCGTTATACAAAAACTAATACAAAATGCCTGTTTATCACCAAAATTGGTAATTATCCTG